TTATGTTACAATTTTAAAAAAGTTGTTCATTTATTCGGCTATGGTAAATTTTTAAGTTTTAACAACTCTAATTTGTATAGTTACCCGAAATATATCGATTTAACTAAAAACTGTAACCGAAATTTAATTTATCAATTTTTGAATCTTATGTTTTCAATCATTAAGAATTTATTCAGAAATTGTTCTTTAAAATTTGTTTTAACAAATGATTTCAGGAAACAATCACCAGATTTCTTCGCAAATTTAACAAAAAATCTGACGAATTAAAATATGAAGAGTCACATACGCGAATTTGTCAAAAAGTATTTGATTATAATAGTTATACTGTATAACACTTGTCAACACTGTCATTACGTTAAAAAAATTTACGAATAATTTCATTTTTCGAGTACAATACAAGATATTATTTTATTATGAATCTAAGAAACAAATATTTGCTATTAATACACCAGTCAAAATAGATACAATAACTCAAATTGCAACAATCATTTTGTGCCACTCTGTATTTTAACAATCGTTTTTAAGATTGTCATTAAATATTATAGATTATCCAAAATTTTATTTTTTTTTGTGAACATGATGTTCTATTAATGTTATTTTGTCATAATTTCCATGTGTATATACACAATTATTCAAACACATATTATGTATATAAATAGCGCATAAAATAAGTTAAGGAAAATAATAATATGAAGAAACTGTTGACAAAACAAAATAAAATGATGAACGTTCACATGTCAAAAACTGAAATATTTATAAAAAAAAAATAAAATGAAAAAAGTGGAAAACTCTTAATTCTTTTTTATTTTTTTGTTCCTCTTCTTTTTCTTACTTTTCATATGTTTGAATGTTATACGTGAAATTCTAATTAACGTTGAAATATGATGAACTTTAAGATTTTAAAAGTGATATTTCAACATTAAAATTTTATTATAATTTAAAACTTTTTTAAAAAAAAAACAAAAATTTTTACAGAACCAAAACCACGAAGAAAATTAGAAAAAAATTCTAATATAAAAGTTTTTATTTTTCATCTTTTCCCATTTTCAATTTTATTATTGATTGAAATGTTATGGTGTGGTTTTGGGATGATAAGTGTTTTGTCTATCAAACAAAGTTGTCTTAATCGTCATTTTCTATTGTCGCATCATTTTACAATTTTCGTTGTATAGACACTTTGATATTGTGTATGATGTTTTTTTTTTGACAAATTGACGCATCACAATTTTATTAAGAATTTCTATTTAGCGTTTAAGTGTTAATTTTCTATTTAAACATTTATTTTTAGTATTCATAGTAACATTATAAGTCTATATTATTTTAAATTGTTATAAAAATAAATAAGATTGTTAAGTTAATTTTTAATAAATTTTTGAATATTTAAAAAATGTTAAGTATGCTTACTATTAAATCATATTCTAAAAATTTATTATTACTTATGTGTGAACAACAATGTTTAAGTAAAAGATGCTTTTAAACTTTACTCTATTAATTTGTACTCGTACATGTAATGTTCATTTTATAAAATTATAATTATTCATATTTTTTATTTAAATCATTAGAATTACATTAACAAACGAGGAAATATTATACGTGGATTATAGTATGTATTGACTATATTAATAGAAAGTGATGTGTTTTTAATGATAATATTAATAAAATTAATTATTTTTATTATATAATTTATATTTATTCTAATATTTGTGAGATATCAAAGGTGATAATATAATTTGTGCAATTAAATACCATTATAAAATGATTTAAGAATTAATTAAACAATATTGGTTTGTAAAGTACAAAACCGTTCATGATTTTTTTTAACTTAACTAAAATTATATTTGATTTCTTATAAGATTATATTATATGGGTTTCATTATTAAATAATTTTGAAACGAAATTCAATTATATTAATAATGCTGGTTGGAATGGTGTCAAAAGTTGTTGTGCAAAGTGAATTATTTTAATAAACTGTTGATATTAAAAGTATTGAATTGAGAAAAAAAAAATTTAAATTCAAATTGTTAATATGAGTTGATATAATTAGATATCAAGGAGAATATTCGGTAATATTTTAGAAAAAAATTATTTAATTTCAAAAACTTTTCTAACAAAATGAAGAAGTCATCGAACATATGGGAGCTAGATGATCATTTTGCTAAAAATCGGATTTTCTTATTGAAATCTTATTAAAGCTTTACATATATTTTGTTGAAAAATATATTTTTTCGATATATTTCCTTCTTTACAAAAAGCTGAAATGTTATGTTCGAGATTTTTGTAAAAATTGTTTGCAAAATCCCAAACATAACAATGGAACCGTGCAATGTGTAAATTTCAATAATTAAACTCAAGGCTTTACTCTTCAAATTTATTCGGATCAAATTTTGGGAAGAAATTTTTTGATCAATTGTAAATTGATGGAAAACTTAATATTATTCGTTAACTAATTCCAATAATTTTTAATAACAAATATGATTTTAAGTCGAATAACTTAAAAGAACTATCTTAGTACGCAATTAATATTATTTTCTTTAAAATATTTAAATATTTTTAGTTTCTACATCATTTTTTTAAGTTCTAGATTCTACAACACTTCAACCCAATTAATTATTATAAATGTTAAAGTACAATGATTTTAATATTCTTAAAATAAAATTTATTACAATGTCATCATTATTGTAAAAAAATATTCCATACAAATAATTTTTATGAAAATTCCCGAGGAAATTAATTATTTAGATATTTAAGACAATCTTTTTTGTTTACAATTTACATTAATTATGAATATTAAACAAAAAAAAATAACATTATTTTCCTCTTGTTTTGCAAATCCAATATAATTTTTTTTACCCCCCATATATTGGTTTTAAAAAAATATACATTTAAGCTAATTGGTTTAAATTTACTTTCAGTTTTTTTTCTCTCTTAATTCTTGATCGTTTTATTATGACTAAATTCAGTTTACTTGACAATAATTAATTGGAGTTTCCTGTAAAAACATTGCACCAAAAAAACGTTTTTATTTTTTATATTTAATTTCATTGTCACATTCGCGTGCTATCAATTTACTTCAAAAGCTGAATAAAAAAATATAAAAGCCGTGCATCATAGAAAAATTTAAATTCCATTTTTTTCTTCTTTTGTTCTGTTCTGTTACGCGTCTCAAAATCTCATCATAATAAATTATTAAGATCCATTCGTATTAAATCTAAAAAAAAAAAGATTAAATAAAAACAATAATAAAAAATTAAATTATGTTTAGTATATAAATATAAAATGATCTATTTGTTAACAAAAATAATAATAAAAAAAAACACAAATAAAAAAACCAACAGTAGCCAAAAGAGACAAAATGAAATTGACGTTTTTATTGTTTGATCTCTTGTACATTAAACTTTTTTTCCTATCATTAATTACATTTAATACGATTTACGAAGCTAAATGAACTTTATTTTGTCTACATAGAGTCTATCATTTAAAATGCGATCGGTAAATAATAATAAATATTATAAGAGAAATGCTTTGTTGCTTAAATACTATACTCAAGTTGAATACTAGAATGTTGATATTTTTCAAGAATGAGAATTTTCATTGTGTTATTTTCTCTCATATTTTCTTATCATATGCACTTTTTAAAAAAGAAATACTATTGCAAATCTCTTACGGTGTTATGGCACTTCTCAACATACCTGATGTTAGTAGCCAAAATGGGATATGTAATGTAGTAAAATTAAAACATTTGTATTATTTTATTGCACATTACATTACATATAGTCATAGTGAGACTTACATAATTGTAAATTACCATTTCATTAATAAAATTAATAGAATAATTTAATTTAAATTATTCATAATTTCAAAATACAATTTATACATAATTTTGACTGAAATTATTTTGTAAAAGTGTAGTACAGTTCGTGAAAGTAATTTATTGTCATGCCACCGACTATATTTATAGGTGAAATATTTATACAATTATCATTGCTACCTTTAAAATACTTAAATAAAACTAAAATAAATAAAATAATTAAAATTAAAACCATTAAAATATAAATTTTTATTCATTTAAATTAACACCTTAATATAACGCACGACAAGTCTTAATTATTTAAAATTAAAAGATTTTATTAATACCTCATGATAATTATAATAAAAAATTCCTAATTAGAGCATTATTTAACAGGAATATATTAGTAAAATCTTATTTTATATACCACTTAATTCTAAAAAAAAAAAATAATAATTAAAATTTATTGTCTTTAAAAATTATACAAAATATTGTCGTTATTTGCTGTGTGATGATCATTTTCAAAAATTCTTATTTTAAAGAAATCAAAAAGAATTTGTAAGAAATTGTAAGTAGTACCCAAAAAATTTTGAACCTCAAAAATTATTTATGCTCGCACGAAACAAAAAACTACATAATAATATTAATAATACAAATAACAACTACATAATCCGATAGCAACAGATAAATTGTTATAACAGTTTTATTATTTTTGTTTGAACATCTCATCTCATGAAGAGATGAGTGATGATGATTTATGCTAAACAATGTAAATAAATTATTTTATTTAAATTTTCACTCTAGGGAAAATTTTCACTCATTAGTTATTAGTAAATCACTCACAAAATTGAGATTTGAGTACAATTAACATCTCTTTCTCAAAAAGAGTTCACATAAATTCTCAACATTTTCTTTAAGGATCAATAATGTTATCAAAAATTAAATTAATCATCACACTACTAATATATTGAATTATCTAAATTACTTGCACCTGCATAGTTTATTCGAATATGTATTATAACACTGAGTGGAAATTACAATATATGATTTTATTGTGAAGAATATTGATAACTATGATGAAAAAATAGGCCGCTAACGCTATAGCTACATAGTACATAATACAGATAATGAGTTGAACGAACAAAGAAATATTTATTTTAAGATCAGTATAGTAGCGACAACGATATTGTAAAGACTATAATTTTGTTGAATTTAAAATTCTATAATTTAATGAGTTCTATTACAATAATATAGAACTGTTTTAACAATATTAAAAAATAACTAGAATTTTTTACATGAATAATCAAATTCAGACTGAAAGCTTATTTAATTATTAATGTAGAGTTTTGAATTTAAAAATTGTTTTAAAAGTGGTGAATCCTAAAGAAGATTACAATTTTTGTAGCTTATATACTATAATGAATTTAAAAATTTTAATAAAACTAATAATAAAGAAGAAAAGTAGTGAAGGGCAAGGATCGAAAACAAATAGTGCATTTAAACATAAACAATAATAATAAATAATATTTTTTTTCCTGTATTTCTGTGTGTTTTTTTATATATTTTTTTATTGTTATTATTTTAAAATTGGATCCTATCCAAAGAAAAGCTATTAAAGAAGAAGGTATATATAAAAAGAATATAAAACGCATTTGTATATATATAAAAAATTTAAATTTACTTGAAAAATATTAAAGAAAACCAAAATGAACCATAAAGTGTCATAATTTTTGTTTTTTTTTTGGTTCCGGTGGTGTCTTCTAATGGAATTTTAAAATTAAAAATGATGATTGTCATATGTCATTTTAAATTTAAATTTTAAATCATAATAATATTAAATCATATAATAATATTAAATATTTCAATACCTTATTATTTTGTTTAATAAAAATAAATTTTATAGTGTAAGAAAAACAAACTGACAAATAAGCTAAATTGAATTTATTTGAGCCGAAGCTTAGAAATGTATGAGCTTAACATAATTAAAATACTTATTATTGTGGCAATTTAATTTAATCCTTCGCAGTTTAGTTATAAATTATTCTTATTATTAATTTTAATGGAAATTATCTAGACGAATTAAAAAAAATATTACTTTAAAAATTACATTCAATAATTAAGAATAATCATTCACAATAGTGAATTACCTCAAAATTTCATACAAAATTTATTGTATTGCATATAATATACATATAAATATTTAAAAAATTTAATAATTGAAATTAAAAAATCGAATACATCTGTAATACATTTAATTATTAATTAAACTTAATTTATTATAACTTAATTGCTAAACACAAGTAATTATTTAGATTAAAATTTTTGCATAGTCTTTTACGCATTCCAGTTATTCGATTTTCAGCATTGAGTTTTCGCTGAATAACTCAATTTAAAACACAAACAATAAATTATTCCTCCAGTATTTTTAGTAATTAATTGTTTTTAGTATACTAAGGCTCCAGTGACAAAATTGAATTAAATAAAAAACCAGCGATTTCCAAGTCTCAATAACATTTAAGAATTAAAATATTTCTTCATCAGTTCCAAATAAATTTGTTTGATTTACAAATTGCTATAATAATAATAATAATAATAATTGTTATACAATGTAATTTTAATTACAATATCTTGCTAAAGTTCACATTGAATTAGCTATCTTCTGCCTACACCCTTAAGGTGACCCCGTATAAATACAAAATTTATAATTCAAAACTTAAATACAAAATTTAGTATTCTTAACAGCATTTACACATTGTTTATTTCTGTTATCATAATTATTATTGTTTATAAAAAAATTTAGTATTTATGACATCATTTTGTGTTTTTCATTTTAATTATCTGTTTTAATTAGACAGATAACATTGTTTCCAATTAAAAAAAATAATAAATTATTTTTATAAGACTTTTTCCTTATTATTTCTTACAAAAATTTTTAATACTTTAATTATTTTTTTTTTGTTCATTTCAGAATGAAAATTTTAATATCCGTACTTTTAACATTAATTGCACTAATTTTAATTATTATTATCTATGTATTAATTGGTGAAACGAATAATCCATTAGAAAATAATGATATTGATATTGAATGGATTAAATATAAAGAAAAATATAATAAAAATTATAATGAACCAGTTGAAAATGAGAGGCGAAAACAAATTTTCATAAAATCAAGAAATTTAATTATTGAGCATAATAAACGTTATGCAATAGGTTTAGAAACATATAATTTAGGTTTAAATAAATATGCTGATTTAACAAATAAAGAATATGTTGGTACACTTAATCTAAATGATGAAACTGATGTAAATTTTATTAATCAAACAGATGATTTTAATTATGATGATTATGGAAATTTAAATAGTTTTGTTAATATAACAGAAGAACAAAAAACTTTTATAACACGTAATACAATTGAATATAATTACAGTTATATTGATAATATACCAGATAATGTTAATTGGGTTAAATTGGGATATGATAATCCTGTATTAGATCAAGGTAATTGTGGTAGCTGTTATATATTTTCAAGTTTATCAGCAATTGAAGCACATTATTTTATAAAATATAAAACACTATTACAATTATCACATCAAGAGATGTTAGATTGTTCCGATAGATATGGTAATTATGGTTGTGATGGCGGTTTAATGGAAGATGTATACGCATACATAATGTTATATGGTGTTGGATTATCACATCAAAAACCATATATTGGTACTGTATCAAATCAATGCTCATTAAGTAAACCACGAATTTATATTAAGAAAAAATATTATAGTAGTAAAATGAATGAATTAGAATTAAAAGAAGTTATAGCACATTATGGACCAGTTGCATCATCAATTAATGCTGGATTAGATACATTTAAATTTTATAAAAGTGGTTTATATTATGATCCAAATTGTAATAAATATAATTTAGAACATAGTGTTACAACAGTTGGTTATGGTATAACAGAAGATAATGGAAAAGATTATTGGTTAATAAGAAATTCATTTGGTCCGAATTGGGGTGAAAATGGTTATATGCGTATAGCTAGAAATCGTGATAATCATTGTGGTTTAGCAACATATTTTCTATTTCCACAATTTTAGAACAATTTAATATTGTTATTTTTATTTATTTTTTTTTTATAATATAAACCTTGTAAATTTTAAATTTAATATGCTTTGTATACCATGTATATATAATATTTTCTTTTTAAATTAAATTAAATTATTATTTATTTCATATATTAAAATGTGTTATTTATAATAAAAATTAGTAAATGAAAGAATCAAATAAATAAATATTGGTTTTTTTTTTAAATAATTTCTTACACAATTTAGCTTAACACAATTTAATTTCTAGCGATAACAATGGCTTCTGAACTTAAATGAAATATATGTTCTTAAAAAAAAATATTTTGTTATAAAACTAGAAAATACCGATTTCTGTATTTAATAATTTTTTAATTTGATAAATTTAAAAAAAAAAACAATGAAAATAATTTTTTCGGTGAATTCCAAATGATCATCTCACGTCAAAATTTGAGCACACAAATAAAATTAATTACAATTTAATATATTGGGTACCTACTTATGATATACAATAAATTTTAAAATAGCTATTCATGAAAATCCATAAATTATAATCATAAATCTGTCTAAAATCGCAAAACAAGCGTTCATAAAAATTTTCGTTATAATTATTATCTATATTATTACGTATATATTATATAGATATTTAACTGTTTATGAAGATGAGTATATTTAACTGTGAAGATGAGTGATAATTTATTTTGACAATTTTATTTTATTTCAAAAATTGAAAATTATTCTATTTTAATTTTCACTCATTCAAATTAGTGATTTGTCTATGAACGTGAATTTTGCACGTGAGTACCTAACAACACTAGCAAATCAAATTAAAAATTATATTCTCATTTATTTTTATCTTTGATATTTAGTAGACTAAACCATCAGACAGCTAGCTATACTCTTTAAAGGATCATTTAAATCAAAAATTTTTCTCTCAAAAATAAAAACATAAATAATGAAATGATATCACATATTGTATTCTCTATTATTTATGAATTTCCTAAATTTAACCGGAATGAACTAAACAAGAGAAGCAAAATTGAGAAAATTTACTCTACTTGTATACAATAAAAAGTACAATACTTGTATGCATGTAATGAATTTTATCAAATCAATTTGAGAATATTATTATTGTTATTATTCTTTTGTTTTTATGTAAAATATTTTAGTAGTCAAAATATTGATAGCTAATGAAAAATACAAACATACATGCAAACATGTAAGCCGTCACAGCTTTTATGTGTTAAATATAAAAAGGGATGTTTATTTTAGATCAGTATAGAATTAACAACGATGTTGAAAAGAATATTTATTCGATAATTTATCTATCGCTCGATAGAAATTATTTAATATAAGAATAACAATTAAATTAAAACATTTTTTTTTTTAATTGCAAATAAAAATAATTTTTTTTTTTTAATTTTTGCAAAAAAAAAATATTTTTATTATGAAAAATTTGAAGTAGATAATAAAAAAAAGTATTATTATTAAATTATTTAAAAGTGCTTACACAATATAATTAAAAAAAAATAATTAAATTAAATTAATTTTTATAATGAGAACTGATAATGTATTTAACATTATAATAAATTTGTATACTAATAATTTTAATATAAAAAAATTTATAAAAATAAAAGTGCAATATTTTGGTGAGAGGGGTGAATATTGAAGAGCAAGGATTTAAAATAAAGAACGAGTATAGTGCAATAAAACATAAATAATAAAAATTTTGTTAACAAAATTTTAATATCTCTCTTATTTTTATTTTAAATTGGATCATATCCAAAACTTAAGCTATAAAAAGGTGAATATAATTATATGTGATGTAGTTTTTGTAAATACAATTATATTATAAATGTAATACAACAAACATAAAAATGAAAGACAAAATTAAAGACGACGACCATAAAATGTCAAATTTGTTTTTTCTGAGTTCCGGTATATTGTTTAATAAATTTTTTAAATATTAATTGAATTTATAAGCTATGAAGAGAATATTTTTAAGTAATTTTAATGAAATTTTTAAAAATTTAAGCGTGTTTATTGTCATAATGGTATTTTATATTCTTAAAAGTTTTTACTATTGTAAAATAAAAACAAGAAATGTTCGGAAAATATGTAAAAAATTATGTAAATTATTTATTGTTGCAATGAGTACGCTTCCCAACAATAATCCAATGGAAAATCAAATGACTTATTAATTAAAATTTAAGAATAATATTATTAATTTAACAATTTAAAATAAAGTAGCGCTAAATTCTAAGGAAATGTATTTTTAATAAGTTCTTATGTAATATTACACTTTTCTATAAGGAATTTACATCAATTTGGGCATATAATTAGCTTCTTAAAGATTTAAAATATTAAAATTAGTTATAATAATTAATAGAGTAGAAAATTATTTATATTTTAATGATTAATTCTAATCAATTCTTAAAATTCTGGAAAAGTTTAATGTTTGCAAAATATGTGAATAGCGAACTTCTTATAAACTTAGCATTGCCCATTATAAATTCAATAATTAATATTAAAGCGATCAAATTAGTTTCTACAATATTTCTGTTTTAAGTGCATTTTTTAAGTTTGTTATATTGATTGTGATTATAAACATTTTATTACAGAATCCAATTATTTAACTTTGATGCTCTATGGTAACATTTTTATATCTAATTCAATGTATTTTTACCTTAAATTTCTGAAGCACAAGTTTTTTTAAATTTACTAGGCAAAAAATTAAATTAAAACTAAACAAATCCACGGAAAGTAAAAGTAAAAGACTTTTATTTTAGAATTTTGCTTGCGCTTTAACAAAAATCAAAAAATTAAAAAAATTTTAAATATTTTTAGGAAGAAAATTATCACATTTTTTGTTTGTTGTTGACATTTATGACATAATTATCACACCTGTTAATTATTTTTTATTTATTTTTAAAAATTATTTAAATTATTTTTTTGTTAATCAGTTATTTTCGTTTCAGAATGAAAATTATTATATCCGTACTTCTGACTTTAATTGTGTTAATCTTACTTATTATTTTATTTACATTTACTGGTGAACCGGATTATTCATTAGAAAGTCGTGATATTGAAATTGAATGGATTAAATATAAAGAAAAATTTAATAAAAATTATGAAGAACCAGATGAAAATGAACGAAGAAAACAACTTTTTACAAAATCAAGAAATTTCATTAAAGAACACAATCAACGTTACGCAAAAGGTTTAGAATCATATAATTTAGGATTAAATAAATATGCTGATTTAACTGATCAAGAATATATTGGATCTGTTAATAAACATGTTGATGAAACGGATCTAAGTCTTATAAATGATATTGATGATCATCATGATGATAATGGTATCGATGAAGATTACGGAAATTTAAATAATTTTATAAATGTAACTGATGAACAAAAAAATTTTATATCACGTAATACAATTGAATATAATTACAGTTATATTGATAATATTCCAGATAATGTTAATTGGGTTAAATTAGGATATGATAATCCTGTATTAGATCAAGGTAATTGTGGTAGCTGTTATATATTTTCAAGTTTATCAGCAATTGAAGCACATTATTTTATAAAATATAAAACATTAGTACAATTATCACATCAAGAACTATTAGATTGTTCTCATATGTATGGTAATTATGGTTGTGATGGTGGTTATATGGAAGATGTATATACATATATAATGCTGCATGGTATTGGATTAGCAGATCAAAATCCATATCTAGGTACAGATTCAAATCAATGTAAACAAAGAAAACCAAGAATATATGTTAAGAAAAAATTTTATAGTGGTAAAATGAATGAATTAGAATTAAAAGAAGTTATAGCACGTTATGGACCAGTTACATCATCAATTAATGCTGGATTAGACACATTTAAATTCTATAAAAGTGGTTTATATTATGATCGTAATTGTCATAAAGGTAAATTAGAACATGGTGTTGCAACAGTTGGTTATGGTATTACAGAAAAAAATAAAGATTATTGGTTAATAAGAAATTCATTTGGTCCGAATTGGGGTGAAAATGGTTATATGCGTATAGCTAGAAATCGTGATAATCATTGTGGTTTAGCAACATATTATTTATTTCCACAATTTTAATTAAAATGTATTATAAATTTTGTAATAAATATTATACATATTGAATTATATTAAGTTTATATAATTTATAATTATACCGTGTATATTTCTTTATTAAATTTTAATTATTTAGAAATTAATAAAAATACTAATATATAATTTAGTTCTAGGTATAGGACATTTTCAGTGCAATTTTATATAATTTAGTGACTCTAAAAAATATTTTATTCCGATTTATTGGAAAAATTTCAGAATTATAAGAATCCGCTCTTCTAAAATATCTCTTAGTGTTGCAAGACTTGTTATCTCCCTTAAACATGAAAAACTTTATTAAATTTTTTTTATTAAAAAGAATTCAATTTAAATTGTTAAGTGAAATTATAAATTTTATATAGAATTTTTAATTTATTTTGTATTTGAATCGAACAAAAAACCGAAAGGGAGAAAACGAAATCCTCAGAAAAAGGAATGAAATTAAGAACTTATATTTCCAATTTTTTTTTAATTAAATTAAGAATTTAAATTCTCAATGAAAATGAAATAAAATTAAAATTCATCAGGCTATATAGAAGTTTTTAAATGCAATCGTACAAATTACATGCCCTTACATAATAAAATAACACAATTTTATTTTAATTTTTTTATCTTCTTTTTACAAATTAATTTGACCTACTTCTGAAATTAATTTGATATTGATCAAAATTAGTTCAAGTTTTATAAAACAAAAAAATAAATTGGTAAAGTAAAAGAAAATACAATAGCAAAAAAAGATAATAAAACAAATGTCCTTGAAAAATCCTTTCTTTTCTTAAATACTTTCGAAAAATTTCTTAATTTTCAACAACTTGCCTATCTTATATATAGATATATAGATATTCCCTATCTTATACATAGACATTAACACATACATAATAATATAATAACTACCTACTGAATATATAATAATTGTTTTAAAAGAATTTTTAATACAAAAATTAAATTATATTATAAAATTATAATATCCTTGTTTATTATATTTCAGTTATTTATCACTCAATTATAATAAAGAAAATCTTAAAATTCTTATTTGAAAAAATATAAGAAATTTAAGAAAAATTTATTTTTTACGCCTATCCAATTTTCCTTTCTTATTTTGAATTAAAAACAAACATAATTAAATGAATTTTTTATATATTATAAAAAATTTTAATTTAGTAAAATTACAAAAATATTATTTATTATGAGAGAATTATAAGGACTTTTTATTAAGGAGAGAAAAATAGGAAAATATTTATATAAATAAATTATAAAATGATAAAAGAAATAGAAAATTTCTTAAATTTATTTTATATTAATCGTATATTATAATTATGATATTTATAAATATGCATATATACATAAATATTTTTGAATATTATTATACAAAAAATATAATTACAAAATAAATTTATGATTTTGAAGGAATATGAGAAAGAGTCACTTATTACATTAAGATTATATTAAAGATTAATTAAATTATGTATGGGATAAAATTGATAATAAATTTTCATTAAAATTCAAAGGGTAAGTAAATTTTGAATATTATAACTCATAAGCTGAATTGATGAATTACTGAATTTTAGACGTCGAGAAATTGTGTTCATTATTGCACATTTCAGATCCCTAAATTTTATCACTCTTTTCCCTTTAAATTAAAAGTAATGTTAGTAATAGATATTTTTCAAAAATATACGGCACAAAAATTATAAAAAAAAAAGTTTTTATTTTGAATCAAAAAATAACGAACGCAGAAATTTTACTCAAAAATGTATAAAAAAATTTAAACAAAAAGTGCAATAATTTTATAATATGTTACAAAATATAATATTGTATAGAAATGGCATATTTAAAAAGCTTTAACGAAAATAGCCTTACTCAAGCAAAAAATATAATAAAATCAAAAATAAGCTCTCATTATATTCGCCTAAACATATGCAATTTTTTTTATAAGCAATTTAATTCTATAAATAATTATTTTATTATTATTATAGATTACAAATTAAAATGTAAACGATTGAAATTAGATATTGCAATTACACAAATTTATTCATTATTTAAAAAAATATATACATATGTAAATATATCTATTATATTAATTAATTAATTTTTATTTATATATAATGTCATTTATTTACACTTTTAATAAAATATTTCTATTTATCATATTACATAAGTCTATCTAATTCCCGTATTCAATTGTAATTTTATGAATTTTCGTTATTTTATATTATCATAAATTTTCCAATAATAAATACATTCATATTATATGCAAATGTATATTCAAATCAAAATGGTTACCAAAAATATTACAAAAATCTACAAAATTATATGCAAATAAATAATAAAAAAAGAATTGTGGAGAAAATGTAGAATATTTTGTGAATTTCCAATTTATATATTCAATAAAATTTACAATAAAATTTAGAGTAGCCTACCTATTTCAAAATATTAAATTCAAAATAATGAATTACACATGGCGTATATATGATATAAATTAACCAAAAATATATTCAATAAAATTTATTTTGATTCTTTAATTATATAATTCTAAATATATAGATATATATTTTGAAAGTAAACAAAGCAAATTGAGAAAAATATCCTTTAATGTATATTGGTTATATACGTTCTATACAATTACATAAATATTATACAGTGATAATACATATTATATAAGGGATGAATAAATATTTTTGAAATTTTATTTAAAATATAAATAAAATCTAAAAGTTTATCAAAATAAATGCATATATTATTATTTTGTACACAAAAAAAATTTTTTGATATTTACTGCATCAATTAATATCAATTTTTCGAAACAAATATTGGCTTTAAAACAGTCCAAAATTAATTTTTCATCAATGTATATTAATATTGTATTTTAGATTGTAAATACAATATAATTTATAACTATATAATAATAAATATCACGTATATAAATGCTTGTATTAATAGATTTATTCATAATACACGGTTGTATCATATTGTTTGTTAATAGACAGAACAGCTACTATTGCCTATATATACATAGTATATCATTTATATAAAATAGCTTTTATATAAATAACCACAAAGCTCATGTTCTTAAAGTGTGCTAATGTATGTTCAAGCCATAAAATGTTATTAAAATGTAATGTGCAGATATTTGTATGCTTATATTATATAATGTGTCCACAAAAATTAAAGTCTGAGCCACTATTGAGCTTGTATATTTTTATGAATATTTTATTTTAAAAGAAATATCGATGCGGGTAATCAATCAGAATGTTTACGTATTATATATACCCTTTATATAACGTTACTATATAGATTATGTTATTGAACTTTTATACGTATTGCACATAAATACATTTTAAATGAAATATTGAAATATACACCTATAAATTTATTGCATTTTATGCAATTTATGTTAAAGTAAATACTATATGTACATATCGGCCTGGTCAAGTATATTCTCGGAAATTCTTCATGATATTACTGTTATATGTTTAAATTTTTTTGCAATTTTGATTTTGAACATAATGTATTATAAAGTACAAGGTGTTCTATCAAATTATTTCTATATTACTAAGTTAAAAATATTTCAAACAAAATAAATATGATTTCGGGTAAGTATTTCCAATAAGCGAAAAATTTTTAAAGTCTTTCAATGCATTTTTTAAATGCTGAACCAAATGAGAAATAGAAACTGTGTTAGTGATTTATTGAAAATTTAATCAAAATAAGAAAATTTAAAGGAGACGAATTTAACATTTTTCATAGCTTTTTTTCGGCACGTATTTCGACAGATAACTCAGTTTTAGCAGGCATTTCCAGTAAAAAATTAACTTTTAATACAATGGTCAAATACAAAGCATTTTACTATTTTAGAGAAATCACGACCAAAACAAAAAAGAGTTAGATTCTCGGAAGCACTTTTTATAATAGTGTAAATAATTATGGCGCCTATTGCTATAGTGCAAATATTTTTGGCTTTATTGTTTTTATGTTTTTTTTTAATTTACATTTGTTTTTCGTTATTCTGTTTTTGTAAAATTTTGAAGAAATCTTTGAATTACATGTAAACAAAATTTGGATTTAATAAATTAATTTTGTAAAAAGCTACAAATATGCTTCAAAATTATAGAAACTCCTAATACGAGAAATCATTAAAAATTTTGTGAAAAAAATATTCATGTTTCTTAATTCAATTAATCATGTCATCGTTTTTAAATTATTCAAAATAATTTTTGATATTGTAATTATTATTGGACATCTTGTATACATTTTAGCCTCAAAATTAATGAAATGGAAATTTTCAAAATAATATTCTGTTTACTATATCCACATAACTATAAGGATATATTTATGCCTATATCACATAAAAGCATAAACGCTCCTACAGTTTTTCGTTAAATTACTATAAATAATCACTTGCAATTTTGTTTTTTTTTTCTTACTGAAATTTCATAAACTTTTTATTATCTTAAATCAAATTTACTCATTCAATTGAATTAATTGCTGTTATTGAGTTGTGATGAAGCACAAAATCATGATGTTGTTGTTTCTATACAATTTTTATTTTCTATTTTCTACTTATTCTTTCTTCTATATAATTTACTCATTCAGTGTGATTTCTCCTTCAATGGAATGAAATGAGTTGAGAAAAAACTGTTAAGGATCGCTTGTAACATAATATACCTACAAAAAAAAAACATTGATAAGTAGATCATTAATACATTTTAACATAATAAAAATCTTCTCTAATAATACAAAAAGAAAAAGGTAGAAAATTATAATATCATTTAATTTTTATTACAAAAAAAAAATAGATATACTTTTATAAAAGTGTTATTTCATTCATATATTCATTTCTATTTAATATAAACGTTCTGTGTACTTCTTATATAATAAAATAATAATAACAATATTGCTCCTTATTTGTATGAAGTTAAATGTGTGTGCGTTATTATTATTAATGTGTGTGTTAATATTTGCATAAGAATTTTAAGTGGAATTAAGTGGATCAATTTACAAGCGTAAACAACCTGTTGAATATTTTCATATTTTTTTTTATTAAACCCTCTCAATAATATTCTTTTGCTATCTTATTTAGGTTCATTATAGGACGTATTA